GCGAAAAAAGGAATTATGTAGCCAACCGCACAATAGGGGACAAAGCTTTATATTGTTGTTGCATACTTATAAATATTAAATTAGATTTAATTCATAAACTAATTATAAATTAGAATTTAATTTATTATTTAATCAGAATCAATTATAATAATTATATTTATCTTAATAATTAATTATATTTATTCTAGATTAATTACAAATTAAATTAAATAATTTATAGTAATTTTAAACTAATTATAATGTTATCTTTAATTAATTTATAATTAATTATATTAATTTATAAATTAAATATAACCAATTAGATTTAATTTATAACCTAATAATATTAATTAAAATCAATTATATTTAATTTAAAAATAATTATAAATCACTTTTGTTTAATTTATAATAAATTATAAGTTAAGATATAATTAATTATATTTAATTTAACATTAATTATAAATCAATTTTGTTGAATTTATGATTAATGGTAAATTAAGCTATAATTACTTTTATTTAGTTTTAAATTAATTATAAATAATTTTATTTAATTTATAATTAATTATAGATTAACTATAATTAATTACAATTTAAACTAAATTTGAACAGGGTTTAGGCTAGATTTGAACAGGATTTATGTTAAATCCTTCCAAACAGGATTTCTGAGTTAGTTTTATCAACGATGCAAAAATAAGAGAAAATCTCTTCACAAATTTCCTATAATAAGCGGTCATGCCTAAAAAGCTACATACCTCATATACCGTAGTACGCCTCGGCCAATTAGTGACAGTATGAAACTTCTAGGGATATATAAAAATACTAATACTACCAACTGTATACTCAGAAATAAGATACTTTTAATCAAAACTCATACTTAGAAAATTTTTCTTATAACTGATTTTATTATAGAGTCTCTAGAATTATCCTTAGATGTTTAACACGGTCCACTCAAAAATAGAATGAGTTAGAATGTCTTCTATAAAGATAATCATAAATTAGTCTAAATACTCCCTAAATACTCTATTCCATGTCACCTTCACCTGATAATATCTTGATCATAGATCAATCTTGGAAAAAATAGAAGATCCATTAAGCTAATCAAATAGATCATCGATTAATAGCATATGATACTTGTTCTTGATGGTGACTTTGTATAACTCTCTAAAATCAATACATATGTGCATTGTACCATCCATTTTCATCACATATAAAATAGGTACTCTCCAAAGAGACAAATTAGGATGGATAAAACCTTGATCAATTAACTCTTGAAGCTCTACCTTCAATTCCTGAAGTTCCTCAAATGTCATTCTATATGGAGTCTTACATATTGAACAAGTATCATATGCCATAAAATATATCAATATACATACCCAAAAATACATCGATATAAAACTTGATATTTCTATCCCATGGCAAATTGACTAACTTCTTAGAAAATCATCTAAGGACATCAAAAATAGAAATATGATTTATTCTTCCAGAATAAATAACTCACTGTTTAAAAATAAAGTGACTTACTTCTTATATTTGAGTCTCGTGCTGAATCAACTAGTTTATATTCAAGATAAGATTAAATTTAAAAATAAGTAATAAAATTAAACTAGACCTCCATTTTCTGTCAATTTTAATATCATAAAAGGAAACTTTATTGGCTGTCACTTCATCTCTAGTCGATAAAGTAAGAAATAAGGAAAAAGATAATAATATTAAAGGAAATTGTAATGAATCAAAATAACAATAAAAAATAAATGAATTATTGACTTCATAATCAAATAAAATATGACACGGATGATCAAAACATAAGACATACTTGTTACAACACCTAGTCATCCTAAGCCTCCTATTAAGTCAAACTAGCTATATGAACATGGTTAAACTAGAGCTAGAGCAACAAAATTTCTAGACTCTAAGCTATAGACGGTTTACCTGCTACTAAGCCTGCCATATAACTATATCAACTACCTCTACCAGATGATCCCTCAGAAAATGTATGGAGCAGAACTATCCTGGGCCTCCCCCCAATCTGACTGAAATCTCAAATCAAGGTTCATAATGTTGATAAAATCCTCCCTTAGACACTCAGTCGCTCTATGTCCCACTTTTTAATACTAAAAACACTATCATGTCATCTTATAACACTAACAAGAATGTCATATTCCCCAAAAACAACATAATGTGATTCATTAATAAAACTAGAACTAGCCATTGTGTCACTATTATAAAATGCTACAAAAATAGGATATCCACCTCTCCTAGACTCTCTGGTCCAAACCTACTCTTCTTTCTACAAAATCAACTACTAGATGTTTCACTTTTAAACATCTTCCTACTAGTAGTCCACTACTGCTAAGTATCCATCAAATCATTCTCAATTAATCAGGCTTGCTCCGCATGCTTAGAAAGATCATAAATAAAAAATGGAACAAGTGGCTTTCTCAAACTATCTTGAAGCCCCCTAAAAAATCCATAACACTTTTCCTCAAGAATGCTAACTAACTGCAAGGAATACCTAACTAAAGTAGTAAACTCTAACTCGTACTACATCATAGTATTTGCTTCCCTAAACTAATATCAGAAAAACCTCCTACATTTGCTAACATGATGAAGGTGTTATAAAAGGGAATTTAGTCTCCCTTGAAACTTCTCCTATTACTGACCCATCCACTACCACTCAGCTTCTCCATCCAACAGAAAAATAGCCTACATTACTTCCCTCTCATAAGGATACTATATACCTTTAAATATCTTTTATAGTCTCGTCAACTAGTCATCTACTACATTGGCCTTAACAGCACTCTCAAATCTCAGACTTCAATCTCAAAAATATTTATAAATATCAATCTACCTCATCAGATATAATAATAGGGACTTTGTTTTGTGCTTCACCCATCAACTATGCCATCAGACTACCAAATTAGAAAATAATTTCAAAATCGAGTGTTATAAAAGTACTATATATATGAGCTACATGACTGGAACTCTGTTCATCTATTACATATGGGTCTGACGAATCCATAATCATATAAAACATACAACTAGACATATATGCCCATATAGACCCAAAAATCACATCACACAACCTACAATTAAATTTATATATCTCTATTTTATGATCAATTTCCAAAATTATAACTCTGATACCAAAAAAATATTGTCACAACCCAACCCGATAAGACCATAAATTGAACATATCTTATCATGTTAAGTTATAACCGGCGAATTCCAATATTTAAGTTTTATAAATTTTTCAAAAATTTTGTCTATATTCACTTTAACATAATAATAAATAACATATAGTACTAAAAATAATCTCATCCTAAATATTTATTTTTTTTATTTATCATCAAAAATATATATACAAGCACAATGCTTGGCTATAAATAAAAGCTACATAATAGAGTAAAAAAACTTGTCATTGACTATATCTTTTTTGAAATACTTTCCAAAATTATGAAATATAATATAATAATTCACTATGCTAAGTAAATCATAATAGCATAATAATCATTTAAAGATTTAAATAATAATACTAAAAATTTAATTAAACTAAAATTATATATGGACTTTATTTCATAAAATAGAATGTAACATATTTCCTTAGTCCCAAATAGAATCTAAAGATCCTTACCCCTTTTAACTCCCAAGAGATAGATTATCCCCTCTTTCAAATAGAATTCAAGATTTTGGCCTCTTATAACTCCTAATAGATAGAATTTTAGAGAGTTTAGAATCTCTGAATCAAATAAAATCCAAAGAATTCTGACCACTTATATCTCTCAATATATTTTCTTACATCAAAACTCATATAAATAATTTAATATAACACATAATTCATTACAGTATAAAAATTAAAGCATAAAAGAACTCAGCAAGAAATCTCCACTTTGCTCTAATTGTAGGCAATATAACATATTATTGAGCAAAAATGTACTATTTTAGAATTTCACCAAATTATCAAAAATCATACAAAATACTATTTCAAAACTTCAATTATACTACAATACTATTTTATGGGTTCGAGATTATTTTATTTTCAATTAAAAATGTACATATTTCATAATACTGGGTGTAAAATTTCTAAAAAAATATTTAAATTGTTCAAAATTTCAATTTATCCCCATTTTGGGTAAAAAATATAAATGTAATAAAAAAATTCAAGAAATCTCCATATCTTTTAAAATTAAGATAAGTATAATTTGACCTACCTTAATCCGTATAACCTTTAAAACTGGGTCGACAACTAAAAATGACTTAAAGCAGCCCAAATCCTCTCTCCATAATCCTACTCTCTCTAGGTCGGTTGGTTTTGAAAGCTGCACAAAGAACAACGTTAGTAATAACAAACACACAGATAGCAAAGGAATGATCTTCAGCTTTTCTCATTTCATCTTGCTTGGGTATTCTCTCTACAGAGCCGGTATATATGGATAAATTAATAACAGACATCATGAGTAAAGAGCAGGTCCAGCTACTCGAAGTGGAGAGCAGCTTCTGATGCTGCCAGTCCGAGCCATGTGCTCCACTTCCTTAGCTAAATGGAAACGTGATTGTGGTATGATGACTGCCAGAACATGATAACAGATTTGCATGAAATGAATAGTGGAAAAAGATTTTTTAAATGCTAAAATTTGGTCTGGCAATGGAACTTTTATTCTATCCAGTGAACGTACGCAGAGGAAGATTCGGTTTTAGACAAAAAATGCATGTACCGAGTTTTTTACGCCTATACCGAATTTTTTGAAATAACTCAGTACAGACGCTTTTTTGCCTAAAACCGAACCTTCCTCTGCATACGTTCACTGGATAAAATAAAAGTTCCTGGCAATGAGGCACTAGTTCATTTTTCTAAATTCCAGAGATCGCATTGTTAGGGTGCTACTATTTCAATGTGGTGCTCTAGGAGAAAATTTTCAGATTTCACAAACATGCATTCAGACCCTTAAAACCCACTTCAAAACACATGTTGACCTTTTTCAGACACACATATCATTTTCAAACACATCCAAAAGAGTGTAATATAGATTTTAATTAATTACCTATTATACTCATCTAAAAATTAATATATTATAACTATTACATGAGCACAAGTAATGATACACTTTGATCGTTATGATCCATGGAAAGAGAGATTTACACATCTTTTGTATTCTCTTTTTCAACACCCTTGTTTTTAGAGGGAACTGTGGATCTGCCATTACAATTTCAAATGATCAGCAACAGAACTTCTTAACACAGCTGTAAATGTACAGACAAATATTCTTTCTTTCTCAAAGAATATCACTTCATCTCTTCTGAAGAATGATACACCAATTGGATTTATCATAGAACTGCTCAACAGTCGCTGCATTCTCTATGCCAGTAACTAACCTGCAAATAAGGATGCAATGAATCAGAAAGAAATTTATTAGTTGAAGAGGCTGTCGGATATTCTTAACAGAACTGTAATGAGAAAAACAGATTTAATGAATTACTAAAACAATAAGCGTTTTTGCTCCCTCCTATCTTAACCACCCTTCTAGATACTACTTGCCAACCCTAGCACATTTTACCATCAAGATTTAGGGTTCGTTTGGGACAGCTTTTTTATTGTTTTTTAAAGCAACTTTCTAGTACAAAAATTTTAATTTTGATACTGAAAAGTTGCTTTAAGAAGCATCAAAAAAGCTGTCCCAAACAAAGCCTTAAGCTTCATATTTAAAAAACATAAAGAAAATATGTAGGATGCAGGGAAGGAAGGCTGATAGTGATGATTGAACTAAGAACTCACTCGCTGACAGCTAAAATTTAACTTGCATCAATTTGATTCGACTCAAAAGGGTATGCTGATTCAATTCAACTAGAAATTAACTTGGTTTATATGTATGTGTATGAGCATATATAACCACAGACTATTAGATGTGAATAAATACATACATGCAAAAATATATACAATATTTCAAGATAAGATCAAAAGATACGATAGATCACGATCAATTCCTCAAAAAGTTCTTCAACAATAGACTTTGAAAAGTGATATTTTGACTCTATTCGTATGATCTACTCATTCATGTAGATATTATCAAAATAATGAGTCACCTCTGGTCGAGCATTTCATAGGTACACATAAATAGATAGCCAGCTTACTGGCCAGCTCTCATGAATGAATATATTTAACATAGATGTCAATGGCACAAAATAGCACGCGCCATGACGCACGCGCGGTGCAGCGCACCTATGGCGCCATGTGGATGGCACAGCACATGTTCAAAATGGTGCGCGCTATTTGTGCCACATGCATGTGATGGTGCATGGTGTAACATAGCGCGCACAATTGTTTTTAAAAATTTAAAGTAATTATAAATAATTTTTATATTTATCTTTTTTTTTATTTTTAAGGTAATATATTTTCTAATTTTTAAATATATTAAAAGTATTAGATAAATAGTAGATCGCTCATTTGTTGCCCTAATTTCACAAACCTCACCTCCCGCGACAGTTCACGCATGTAGAGAAACAACAGACTTCGCAGTTTAGACACCGTCTGAGTTCGCAAGCCGTCTGATTCCCACGAGCTTCGCCTGGTTTCGCAGTCCGCTTGCTGTCTGTTCACGAACGAGCGTCGTTTGATTCTGCACTCCGTCTGATTCAGCACAAGCTTAGCCTGATCTCGCACTTTTTCAACGGAGGCCCCCACCATTTGTTTCGCAGTCCGCACGAGCATAGGTGGGTGTCATTGTTTGCTTGTTATTTTGTCATTGTGCTTATTACTTTGACATTGTTTGCTTGATATCTTCTCGTTACTAACACTTGAAACAAGAAATTAAATGGAATCCCATCATATTTGTATTGTCATTGTTTGCTTGTTATTTTGTGTTTTTATTTTTTTATTCTATTTCCACAAATTTTTTCCAAGTTTACATTGATTTTATTAATTAAATTCTAATGGAGAACAAAATTTGTTTATTTAAATTAGCTTGCTTTTAATGTCTGATTCAATTTAATCTTAAAGAAAGATCTAGCATGAAATTATGCAATACTGACAAATGAATCTGATAACAATATTGTGACATGTATCTTTGGTGGCAAAATAACAAAAAGGAGGAATTATACGCCACAAACAACACCTCGTTGGGGGTTTTAGGAATGCTAGACCTTGCTCTAATTGTCCCGAGCACATGAAGTCTGAAATTACGGCATCCATGTTGAAAAAAAAAATGACTCAAAAGAACATATTAATGACACATCAAATGTCAACCTTGATGAAGGAGATGACTTTGATGTGATGACAGATGATATTCTAAATGTTAGACCATCCAAAATATTGCAGATAAATAAATTCAAAACTTTTAGCTAGAGTTCTACATCAACATCTATTTTTAAAGCATTACGACCTAAAAGACCGTTAGATACTTACACCAAATCTTGAAGATGTAGTAAAGCATAAAAAAGATCAGTTTAGCAAAGAAATAGATGTAGCTAAAAAGAAAATTAGGAGAAGAGCTTTTCAAGCTTTCTGTAGATGGATGTATGATGTTGGGATTCCATTTTAATGTTATGAAATATGATAGTTTTCTTGTTATGGTGGAGGCACTTGGACAATTTGGACATGGAATGAAACCTCCTATTTATCATCAATATTTATTTTCAAGTTTTCTATAGATGGATCTTGCTTACTTTTTTTTAATCGATCTCACTTGAATAATTAATGAGAAGGTGAACAAATCAAAGAGTACTTTTCAAACCCACAAAGACTTAGTTTCGCAATAACTTTCTTAACTTTACAACGTTTTTATCAACAACAACTGAACTTGAATAAAATATTTACTTATGAATAGTTTGTCTTGGATTCTTATGCGAAAAAGACTAAAGAAAAACAATCTCAATATATAATCTTACAGTAATTATTTTGAAGCTCAATTATATATGCCATAAAAATAACTAATCCTTTATTAAAGTTTCTTAAATTGGTTGGAGTGAGGCTCCAAATGGCTTACATGTATAAAGCAATAAATAGAGCAAAAAAGGTAATTGATGCAAGCTTCAATAATAGTGAAAAATGTTATCAAATTTTTTAAATTATTGATAGAAGATGAGAAGTGCAATTACACTGACCTCTATATGGAGTGACATATTTTTTAAATCATGAATATTTCTTTAATAACCATGATATTGCTAAGGATAAAGAAATAGCTGATAGTCTTTATCAATGTATTGAAAGATTTTCTAGAGATGCATATGAAGAAGAAAAAATCAGTAATGAATTAAATTTATATATTAGGGGTCAACGACAATTTGGTATTCTCCAACTATAAGACAAAAAACTATCCGATCCTCCATATATCATTATTTACATAAAATAAAGATTGATTTGCAAATATATAATATTGAAAATAAATATTTCATTTCTTCCGCTGATTGGTGGTTGGCATATGGCCAAGGATCTTCCAATTTATAAAGCTTTGATATCAAAGTCCTATGTCCAACATGTTGTTCATCCGGATGCAAACACAATCGGAGCATTTTTTAAAATGTAAGTATTTTTACGGTGTATATGTTGTTTTTTAATGTATGTATGTTTATAGTATAGTAATATAATAATGTTTCAATTGCAACTTCATAACAAACAAAAAAGTAAGTTGAATCATGGTCGCTTTAAGAATTTAATTTATGTAAAATATAATAGAGCATTAATTCGGGAGATACAATCATCATGATATGATTGATTCTAATTTTTTGACTGAGATAGATGATGCAAATGAATAGCTAACAGGAAAATAAGATGATTAATCTGATAAAGAAAATAATTTTATTGTTGGAGAAGAAAATTTTATATGGACAAGTGTTGCTAAGGCTATTAGTGTTTATGATAAAAGTACAACATTCATGAGAGATATAAAGGGAAAAAGAATGAATTTTCATCTAGGCATGACGTTGTTACTATTGAGAATGAGGATGATGAAAAGGACTATGAAGTAAGAAATAATGCTGACAAAGATAACAATGTTTTTTTATATTTGCTAATAATGATGATTCCCAAAAAGAGTAGATTAATTTCTTAAAAAATCATTGACATTTAAAAAATAATTGTAAAATTTTGAATTATGAGATATTTGGGTGTTGTTTACTTAAACTTACATATAACTATAGTTGTCTTTCATTATTATGATAGCTTATCATTCAATTTAATGATATTTCATATCAATGCTTATTATTTTATAATTTTTGTATAGTTTACACTTTACACCATGTTTAAAATGATGTGTCTCGCACCGTGCGCTAAGCGCCTAGTTCCAAAGGGACTTTTGCGCCATGGTGCGTCATTCGTCATTAATAAGTATGATATTTAAACACATTTTTAATACTCATGTCAACTTATATTATATAACTTAATTAAAAATTATGATATATATATATATATATAAGGAAATTAATACCTCAATTTAGATTAAAATGTTTAAAAAAAATTAATAAGTTGGCTCAAATCAGCTTAAAAATTCACCCAATATATAATAAATGACATGATTCAAACCTGACTTTACTAAAACCATAATATTCAATTTCAAGTTGAGGTTGGCTTAGTATCACCTATTAACGAAACTAGAACAGGATCAAGGGCTTTCAACTGCGTGCTTGCTAAGCAATTTTGTATCCATTCTCTCCTACAAATTTTTCTATTTATACATGATCAACGCAAAGTCCTAATAAATTACATCCCATTAGATTAGGCTGAGTTTTTGCCTCTAATAAAAGAGCAACTGAAGTAGTGACACTCTCTCAGAGTCAATAACCAAAGATGGTCCACAGTAGTCAAATCCAAAGGATGAATTAAGCTCTAGATATTCTAGAAAATTAGTAAAAGTAAATTAATTCTAGAATTCTTTCACTTCTAAAAATCTTTTAATAAAAGATTAAGCCATAATTTGTTCATTTTTGCAGTTAGTCCGAACGGCTGTGGTAGCCAAACTCAAAAAATAAAAGGAAACATGTTATTACCCATGGAACCTTTTCAAAAATGAAATACAAATCAAACTCAACATGAACTCACCATACAAACCGTAGTTTGTTCAAAACCTATGTACCAACCATACATGTTAACAGCGAATGGCGCACCACGGCGCAAAGGATCCTTTGGAACCATGACGTATAGCATACGGCGCGGAGTGCGCCATTTTGAATATGACACAAACTACATAAGAATTATAAAATAATAAGCATGAATATAAGATTTTATTAAATTGAAAGACAACTAACAAGCTATCATAATAATAAAAGAAAATTATAGTCATATATAAATTCAAGTAAACAACACCTCAAATATCTCATAATTTAAAATATTACAACAATTTTTTAAAGGTTAATGAGTTTATAAGAATTTAATCTACTCTTCCTAGGAATCATCATCAGCAGCAAATGTCAAAAAAGCTTAATTATTTTCATCAGCATTGTCTCCTACTTCATAGTCATCTTCATCATCCTCTTCATAGTCATCTTCATCATCCTCTTCATCCTCATTCTCAATAGCAACAACATCATACTTGGATGAAGATTCATTTTCTTTGTCTTTAGATCTCACCTAAATATTGTATATTTATCATAAACACTAGCGGCCTTACAAATACTTGTCCAAATTAAATATTTCTCTCCAGCAATAAAGTCATTTTCTTCTTCAACTCTTCATCTAATTTTCTTGTTAGCCCACTCATTTCCATCATCTACCTCACTCAAAGAAACGGGATCAATCACATCACGATGATTGTACTCTAAATCAATGACCTATTATATTTTACATAAACTAAATCTTTTAAGCGGTCATGAACTAATTTGCTTCATAGATTGCTATGAAGATATAATTGAAACATTATAACATTACTATACTATGAACATATATAAAAAAACAACAAATACTCAGAAAAAATACCTATATGTCAAAAAATACTTCAATTGTGTTTGCATCCAGATGAACTACATATTATACTTAGGACTTTGATAGAAAAGCTTTGTAAATTGGGAGCTCCTTGGCCATATGCTAACTATCAATCAGCTGGAATAAATGAAATATTTATTTTTAATTTTATATACTTGCAAATCAATCTTCACTTTATATAAATAATAATATATAAAAATTCGAGTAGTTCTTTATCTTACAGCTAGAGGAATATCAAATAGTCTTTCACCTCTAATGTATAAACTTAATTCATTATTGATTTTATCTTCTTCATCTACATCTTTAGTTAATATTCCAATACATTGATAAAAATCATCAGCTATTTTCCTATCTTTGTTAATATTAGGGTAATCGAAGAAATATTTATGATTTAAAAAATGTGTCGCTGCATGTAGAGACTAGTATAATTGCACTTCTTATATTATATCAATAATTTTAAAATTTTGACATACTTATCACTGTTACTGAAGCTTACAATAATTGTCTATTTTGCTCTATCTATTATTTCATATATGTAAGCCAATGGAAACTTCTTCTCTCCATCAAACAATCTAAGAACATTTAATAAAAGATCAGCTATTTTTAAGCCATGCATTATAGTGCTACAAAATGATTGCTGCAAGATTATATGTTAAGATTATTTTACTTTAGCCTCTTTCGCATAAGAATCCAAGATAAACTTAATTCTTCACAAGTAAACATTTTCTTCAAGTTCAGTTGTGGTTGATGAAAACATTGTAAAGTTAAGAAAGTTATTATGAAACGAGTCTTGGCGAGTTTGATAAGTGCTCTTTGATTTGTGCACATTCTCATAAACTCAAGCGAGTCCTAGAATATATAAAACTATGTACTGCCATCGCATTTTGAAAGCAATGCCTCAGCTTTTGAATTTTGAAATTATCATTCATTATTAAATCCAAACAATGAGCAGTACAAGGAGTCCGATAAATGTGAGGATATTTGTCCATCAATAATTTTCCTGTATTGTCATTATAATTTAAGTTAAGATCAAAAATTCATTTTTTATATGAAATAACACAAATTTAGATTATAAGTTGTGACAAACCTACAAGAATATTTTCAGATACATTATCAATAACAATTTGGATTACATTATGTGGTCCAATAACCTTGATGTACTTATAAAAAAGATCATACATTTTTACAACGTTCTTAAAAAATAACTAGCATCAAATGACTTCATAAATGCACATCCTCTCGGACAATTAAAAGGAAAATTGATTAAGTTTTCTCATTCCTCGACGTCCATCCATCTGCCATTAGAGAACAACCATATCATACAGTCTTCTTGATAACGTCGTAATAGTTCATGTGTGAGTCCAACTTCTTTCTTCAAATAAATAACTCGCACCTCATGATAACTAGGAGGTTTCATTCCAAGTCCAAATTGTCCAAGTGTCTCCATAATAGAGAAACTATCATATTTTACAATATTAAATGTAATCTCAGCAACATACATCCATTTATAAAAAACTTGAATAGCCCTTCCCCCTTATTTTCTTTTTAGTTGCATCTATTTCTTTGTTAAACTATCCTTTTCTCTGCTTCACTACATCTTTAAGATTTTGTGTTAGAAAATTATCTAACAGTTTTAAGGTTGTGATGCTTTAAAGATAGATGTTGATATGGAACTTTGACTATAAGAATTGGATTTATTTGTCTATAATATTTTGGATGGTCCAACATCTAGAATATCATATGTCATCTTATCAAAGTCATCTCCTTCAATAAGGATGACATTTGATGTGTTATTAATTTATTTTTTCTAATCTTTTTTTTTCAACATGGATGTCTTAACTTCAGACTTCACGTGCTCGGGGTAATTAGAGCAAAGGTCTAGCATTCCTAACCCCCCCACCCTCCAACGAGGTGTTGTTTGTGGCATGTAATTCCTCCTTTTATTATTTTGCCATAAAAAATAAATGTCACAGTATTGTTATCAGATTCATTTGCTAGTATTACATATTTTCATACTGAATCTTTTTTTAAAGATTGAATTAAATCTGACATTTTATGATCACCTAAAAATAAGCAAATTCAAATAAATAAATTTTAGTCTCTATTATAATTAAATTAATAAAATCAATATAAAGTTTATCATATAAAACACAAATCAAAGTAAAGTTCATCAATGCTCAATAAGGCTTATGGCAGCGATCTTGTAATCACAATGTTTGGAACAAATATGTTCTTCAAAATAAAATAAGATGAATCAATAATATAACTACGTCACGTTATTGTGTTCATACAATCAAAAGCATAAAAAAATATCAAACTACCATCAGTTTAATTCTTTCTACCGTCTAGTGTCTTCGATGTGAGATTGAAATCAAACATGCTTGGAAAAGGTTTGTGGAAAGAGAAACAAAAACAAAAACAAAAAATAAAATAAAATTATTTGTGAATGTTGGGTAGGGCTCACCTATGAACTGAACCGCTTAGCTAGAAACAGCAGTGGCCTCCATTGAAAACAGAGGAGAAACACTCGAGAGCAATCGCTTCCACTCGCATGCAGAATCGGACGAAGGAGACTCGGGAGTAGCGTCGTGTAGAATCAGGCGAAGGTACTCAGATCGTCCCTTCAGTTGCATGCGGAACCAGCCCACATGGCACCTTAGGCACGCCACACCGTGTCATGTAAGGCATTGTGTAAGGTGCAAAAATCAATCTAACCATTTTGTGCCATTGACATCTATAATTTCAACACAACAAAGAAACTATTTTAACAGAAAAGGCGCAAAAAAAATTAAAAAAAAAAAAGTTCACAAAGACAACAAGCTCCATGAGTTTAATGAATGACGATGGCCCAGTGGATAAAATTTGTGCTGAGAAAGAAGTGTAGCAGAACATGATTATGATGATGAAGTAACAGACAATGCACAAAAGCTACTAAACATCTAACCGTATTAGAAAAAAAAATTGTTTGAAATTTAGCATAAAAAGGACTACCATCTAGAATACCTTTGGCATAAGGAAAAGGGATTACACAATAGAGTTTAAACAAAATCTTACAAAGGAACCAGTGCATAATTTAACTAGGATCTAAGCTTAAATGATTAATAATAGGATGTCGAGAGTTGAGTGTGAATGTCACGTTATTATCGAGAGGAGACATGACATTGTTGTCAAGAACCGAACATCAATGTTGTGCAATGGGCATCGGGCATTGATATTGAATCAACGTTGACCCTCAATGTCGAGACGATATCAATAGTCGATGTTGAGATGACATTGAACAAAGATAATATGTCGAGATAGCATAGAACGTGATTGTGAGTGTAGAAATTGATGGTGTCGAGTTTTAATGTCAAAATAGTATCAGACTTTAATGTTGAGATAATTTTAAAACATTGATATTGTAACGACATTGGAGAGATGACATCATGCGTTGTTATAAAACCCTAGTTGTCAACTGCTATAAAGAAATGAAAATGAAAATGTTCGGAGAATGTGATGTTGAGAGTGGATGATTGATTTGGGGCTATGAAAAGTAAATAAGAAATTTAATTTTTATATTTATAATAAATAAATTTTGAAATACAAAAAATTATATTTACATTTTTCACAAAATACCTAAGACACGTGGGTTGGACACTCTGTCCATTTTACTTTCAATATTTTTAATAGGACACATCTTTGGCGTGCCTGACATATGTCAAAGGTGTGTCGAATGCGTATCGTGTCCAATAAGTGACGAATACAACATATCTCTTTGAGAAGAAGTATCAGGGCGTCATAGATAAATAAATATTTTGAAGGAAGTCAATTATCACAAGGGGCATCAATTTTATAAGTGAATTTATAAAAAAGAACACATAGAAGGCAACTGATACTGTTTTCTTTGCAGATAGCTCTAAGCTAGAAAAAATAAATAAAAGACAGAATGAAATTCATTAAAGCTATAAGCAAACCTGATCACAGATGTAATATCCTCGAGCAATAAGATAAACATACCTTTGAAGTTCACCTTCAGCAAATACATGATAATAGCGGTTATACACCACAGCCCCCTTCTTATCATCTTTCTTTGCCAATCCATTTGCAATTGCAGTAGTCGATGTGCCATTAACTTCAGCCCGATGATATGGCAAATGCCAAGGAACAAAGTATTCTTGATTAGTAACAGCTTTACTAGAGGAAATGGCATCCTCTTGTATCCCATTACAAAAAGAAGCAGCGAACACATTATCCTCCCTTCTACCTTCTTCAACATATCCTGGATGAGCGTATCTATGTTTGGATATACCAGTTGTAGAGCAACAATCTTCATTTGCCTCTGGAATCTGCTTTAGCATCAGTGCTGCAGAATTACGCACTTGAGGAATGCTACCACTTACCCATCCTTCATTGTACTTCTCAGAAAGTGGGGTCCACTTTGAAAGCAATGAACTATCCTCTTGCTCTACAGCCCAAACCGTAATTAGAACAGTTCCACCTTTTCGTACCACTCGAATTAACTCTTCTATAGCCTTCCTTCTCCTGCTTTCTGTGCTCAGGTGATGAAGAACGGCAATAGAAATAGCAGCATCACCAAAATTTGTTTTGTAAGGTAGATTAACCGCATCAGCAACCAAAACTTCATGATCTTTCTTTGCACATATATCGATCAAAGATGGGCTGATATCACAGCCTATGTAAAAGCAGTTCGGATTGAAGCCCAAGTACTTACCATTTCCACAACCAGCATCCAATATGACAGCACCGGGACTCAAGGAATTCAAAAAGCTAGCAACTTTAGGCCATCTAGCAAATCTTGTAGCACTAAAATGTGGAGCAATGGCATTATAAACATGGTGTACATATTTTTTTTCAATATCTGGAGTGGCACAGACATTTGCTGAGCAAGGAGTGTCAATTTTCGCCGAATCAGATTCTTGATATTTTGAAGCATCCGTCATAGTAGTGGAAGCCACCATGCTGCAAAATTTCACGGATTTTCCAGTAGATCTGGTGCTGGAGTCAGAGACTAGAGAAAAACTACAAGCATATTTTATACTACTTTCTTGAGTAAGGATGATTTTAGGGAAGTTGCTAGTAATACCTGGGACCAGATTTTGGGAGGCGTTACGTTCTAGAAGTTGGGAAATAAATCTTACTGACTTTGTCACAAATGGGAGCAGCAAAACATTCATAGAAGCTCCGAGGATTCTGCCAATAGATGCAAGAAAGACAAATATCAGAGATTCCTAATATTAGGGCATTTTGTCCAAGCATTTTTGTTCAAACATAAGCTGGTTTGACCAAGTATTTTCATATTTCAGTTGGCTTACATCAAGGATCAGACTTAAGTCCATATCTTTTTTCTTTAGTTATGGATGATCTCACTAGACATTTGCAAGAGGTTGTATCATGCTGTATGCTTTTTGCTAATGATATTCTTTTTGTGGATAAAAGTAGAGAGGGAGTTGAAGGTAAACTTGAATTATGGAGATAGCCTTAGAGTCTAAAGGCCTTCATTTGAGTAGATCTAAATCTGAATATATGGAGTGTAATTTTAGTAGTAATAGTTCTTGTGAGGGGATTGTGACTTTGGGTGATCAAGTCATTAATAAGAGTACACGTTTTATATAATTTGGGTCTATTGTTCAGAGTGATGGTGAAATAGATATGGATATTATTAATAGAATTCAAGTTGGATGGTTGAGGTGGAGGAATGTATTGGGATTGTTGTGTGATAGAAAAGTCTCGCTTAAACTTAAGGAAAAATTCTATAAGATGATGTTCAAACCTGCAATGATTTATGGAGTAGAATGTTGGCAATAAAAGAGAAGCATAATATTAAGTTAAGCGTTGCAGAGATGAGGATGCTCGGGTGGATTAGTGGCTTTACTCTTAGAGACAGGAAACAAAATGAGCATATACGTGAAAAGGTTGGAGTAGCTACAGTGGAAGATAAGATTAAAGAGAGTTGCCTGAAATGGTTTGGTAACATAAAACGACGGCCTTCCGATGACCCGGTTAGGAAAGTAGATGTATTAGATTTGACTTATGTTAAGAAAGGTAGAGGTAGACCTAAAAAGACTTGGTTAGAAAATATTAGAAATGACCTTTCTTTATAAGATTTAAATGAGAATTTAACTTTTAACAGGGGCACATGGTTTAAAACTGCGCAATAAGAGGCGCGCCTCTGAGCAATTTAAGACTTTTAAGCCTCAAAGCCTACGCAATGAGAGCTGGCATTGAGGCGTATGCCATGTTCACTAAGGCGCACCTCGCCTCATGTTTTAGAGGCGCCCGCCTATTAATATTAAAAAAAAGCCCCAGCCTAATAAGATTCCACAATTGGTATGTCTGCTCGGTACCGCTTGGTATAGCTCGGTATCGCTAGGTACATACTCGATACTGCTCAGTACCACTCGGTACAACAATGCTTGGTACCACTAGGTACATGCTCGGTACCGCTAGATACATGCTCGGTACCGCTCGTACATGCTCGGTACCGCTCGGTATATTTTCATACAAACGACTTACAAACTTTAAAAATAAGCAGAACTTCAATATTACTCTTATAATAAAAAATTTACCGATCCCTGCAAGGGCGCTGCCCCTTAATAACCGTGGGATGGGGTGGCCGGTTATGGTGGAGGTGGCCGGTGGGGTGTTCGGCCGGGGCTAGGGATGTGGCCGGTGGTGGATGTCTAATGGCCGGCGGCTAGGGGAAATGGGAGGGCTGTTTTGTGGAGGATGGAAGGAAGGTGAATATGAAAACGAGTGAGAAGATAACAAAAAAAATCTAACCACGAATCGAGGACTCTTCCAACGATTGGTGGGCCTTGCGAATTGCTCCACTTGAGCTCTCCTCCTTCTCAAAGCACTCATGCAAGACGAAGTAGAAATAAAACACAAATTTCATTCAAATGTTCATTAGTCTATTACAAAGCATGAGACCCCTATAAATAGGTCTTCAAACATAAGGAAATAAAAGTACTCAAATGCCCCTTGGGCTACAATAAGACATAACTCCCCACAGGGGTAAAATGGGAAAACAGTAAATCAAACAAGACAATAATAATAAAATACATCATGACATCTAAATCAGAAGTAGAGGCGCTGAATCGTGGCCGTCGATCTGCGGTTTCGCCGGCGATAAACATGTCGGTAGCGTCTGTCGATGTCCTCATCATTGTCGACCCCACATAGTGGGATAAAATATTGATATTGTTGATGTTGCATTTTTGGATGAAGCGATGATGGAGGATAATAGGACAAAGGAAGGAGCAATAAAGGAGAGATAGAGGGAGGGTGAGGAAAGAGGAAGAGATAGGAAAACTACCTTATAATGTTTCTCCGAGTTTTTTAATTAGTAATTCAAGTTTTAGTTATAGTTTTATTAGTAAATTTATTAGGTCATAGAAATTATTAGTTGATTCTAGGGGTGTACCAAGCCGACTCGAGCTCGACGAGTCGAGCTCGAACAGGATTTCGATCTCGACGGACTTATCGAACTCGAGCTCAAACAGGCCTCCGCTCGACTTGACAACTCGCCTAGCGGCTCGCGACAAGAGAGGCGGAAGACAAACCACCCTTTGCACACTAGAAGACAAATCGCCCGTAGTCACGGGAACCGCACGCTCGACGGCAACCGAGCTCGTCGACCTCGAACACCCCTTGACTCAAGCTTGGCTCGATTAGACTCGTTTACGCCCCTAGTTGATTCATATTTAATTGTTAATTAAAATATCCAATTGGTTATTAGTAAATGAAATGAAAAGTTAATTGAGTAAATTATTTACCTAATCATGCAATAACTATGATTAATTAGTTTATCACTAATTATTTCTTAATTAAAAGGTTTTATAGGATATTCAGTAATTAAAAATTAAATAACCACAAGTTACAAGTCAATCAAATAATTCACGGGCTATTACATGAAATTGTAATAAATATCTTGGATAGTAGAGAACTGAGCTATTTTTGGATGGATTCTAGTCAAAATAAAAAGTTCCATCATATTGAAAAGAAAAGGCGGGGTATAAGTTTTTTAGACAATCTTTTGAAATTGTATAATGCTGCAGCCTCATCCGTTTCATATAGTAGCACTCTTTGCTCTCATTTACCAACACTATAGCTATGTAACTTTTTTTCCTATTTAGTAAATCCCCCAAGCTCTTCAATAATAAATAAATAAAAGACTGAGCTGTCTATTGAAATGAGCATTCTCATCCCTTGAAAATCAATGACAATCATCGTGACATTTCCTCAAACAAAAAGCCTAGATCTCCTATACAAATTACTCACTCCTTAAAAAGCTGCAATTCTTCGCTTTTAGCCAATAATGATACCTTTTGCTCGAGCTCTTAGCTATAATAAAGCAAAAAAATCTGGATTATTGACTCTGTAGCTTCAAATCAAATGATAAACCATGCTCACATATTCTCTTTTTATACTGCTATGCCTAAAAACCTCAAAGGCAAAATTATTGATAGATCCCTATCCCACATTGCTGGGATTGGGACCAGTAGAGTTAACTATGAGCTCGTCTGAACTTTTTTTTTACATCTATCCAATATCTTTTGCAATCTCTTACCTACAAGCAACATAGAAAAAGATTATAACTATTAAATCACTTTTAATCAAAATATTATGAATTTTAGGAAAGAGGTCATGGAAGAAGATTGGCAACACTAGCTAGAGGTTAGAATTCTATACAACTTAGATGATTATTCCAAAGAGAGAAATCATGCCCTTTCTATTAACATATAACTTTTTTCTCTTGCCAAAAGAGATTAAATTATGTTATGACATTATAAGTTAGGTCAACCAAGTTTTTTGTACCTTAAAATCCTATTTTCTTTTTCATTAAAAATAAAGATAATTTTTCAATATGAATTTATCAACTAGCCAAACACCAAAAAAAACCTTTAAGCCTAAACACATATAAAGCAACCAAACGCTTTTCTCTTATGCATGCTGATATTTGAAGCCCACTCCATATCTCAAAATCTTTACTCCAAGCAGTGGTTTACTTTTGTTGTTGATGATAATTGTGAGTTGGTCATACTAGTTGAAAGACATATCTGATTAAAACCAAATACTCTACTAAAATTCAAATCCTTCATTTTGATATAAGCACAGAGAATTTTGAAAGTAACTTGAATCAGAATGGAAATACTCATCAAAGTTATTGCCTTGATAATAAGGCATAGCCGAACAAAAAAAAATGCATCTCTTAAAGTGTGAAGATCTATTATGTTCACCACTAACTCTCTGAAATCTTTTGGGGTGATGACATCCTCAAGACCTGATATCTAATGAATCGACTAGCAATTAATGTGCTTCGGTTCAAAACCCTAATTGATGTGTTTTTCAAATGCTTTCCAAATACTAGCACTAGTTCAAATCTTCCTCGTACTGTCTTTGGGCACATTGCTTTTATCCACAATTATAAACCTAATAGAAAAACTAGATTCTTAAGCCTTCAAATATATCTTTCTCCAGTTTAAGACAAATTATAAATAATTTAAATATTATTTCTCTGGGAAATATTTGTATCGATGGATATCACTTTCTTTGAAAATAAACCTTTCTAGAAAAATTACCTCCAAGGGGCGATAGAATAGGAAAAAAAATTTAATATATTTTTTCTCTTAAATCCTTCAACCCATTTATGCCACCAAGTACCTTAAAATTCCTAGACTCAACAATATTGAGATTATTAAAACCACCGTTTTGATTAATGACTAGATCACACAACATTCCTTTAAGCTTGTGTCAGCTCTCGAAGGACGAATTTATGATGTGAAACTACTCTATCTCACGAAGCTTGTCATGATTCTTTCCTAGACTTGAAAGATTTACAAACTCTTCATCCATATAATATCATTAAAATTTTGTTAATTGCTCAAAGAAAATATGCTTCTACATGTACCCAACATCTTATAGCAAATATGTTAACAAATGACCATCTATCCACCTAGATAAATAATTTGGTATCAGTAGAAATTGAAATCTTAAAGTCTATCAAAGAGGCTCTTAATAAACCATATAGAGAGAGATTGTGGAAGATGAAGTAAAGGCGATTAAAAAACTAGAGCATGAGAAGTCATTCAAAGATAGAAGGGTGTCATCCTTATTGGATGTAAATAGCTCTTCAATGTCAAATATCAATGTACAGAACCTATTGAGAAATATAAAGTATAGATGGATGC